AAGTTTTTTCCCGACGAACTAGTTCAGGGGTTTGGCGCCCGCCTCCCTTGCCTTAGCTAATCGTAAATAACAGAGATTACACTGATGTCTAGACTATAAATACAGTGGTGGGAGCTAATTATAGCCATATATTTACCTATAAAATTCAAATTACTCAGCGCAACGGCACAGCTGCTGGTGGCGGTTGTCAGCTTATCAATAACGGACGTGCCAACGCCGCCGGTCATGTTACAAAAGTCCGGATCATCCACGTCAAAGATGATGCCGTCTTCCCACTCGGTGACAATGTGCGAGGACCTCGACTGTTGCTGCACCAGGGAATGGTTGCTAGTGGTGGTACGATTTACCTCCCTGCCGCTGTTGCTATTGCTTCTGCTCCTGTTGTTGTTGTAGCTGTTATTGCCAAACGAGTTGTTGTTGCCGCTGCCCGTTTTCATCTGTTGGCCAAGAGAGTTTGCAATTAATGAGAAGAACAATGGAATGATGGGTGTACGTGATGCTATGCAAATGCCAAACGTCACACGTGGCGCATATGCAAGCAGAAAGCTATGGCATGGCCAATATTAAAGCAGTGGATTTGACGGAGGGAGGGTAATGCAGATGATGATGATGGTAATGTGGTGTCGGTTGGCAGGAGGCACAGCTGTTGCTGCAGCTCATATTGACACACACACACACTGATACAAACTCAAGCAGATTGTTGCAACACCTTTGTCAGCAAAATATGCAAAAATCAATAGATGCAGATGCATTATTTAGGTGAAGGCTGCATTGTTGTGTATTTTGCGTGGGTGCTCTGTTTGTGTGTGCGCTGCGTGGGTGCACAGTGTATGTGTGTTTGGTTTTTGTTTGGCGCTTTCCATGTGTGCACTTGCCCTGCTCCTTGTGTAGGTGTTTTTGCGGGAATTTGCTAATAATGGCATTAACCATGCCTTTAACTTACGTTTCTCAATGCAACTGCAGCGCGAGAATGTCTAATAATTGTAGTTGTAAATTAGAAGTGCCAACAGCAAGATTTTAAGTTAAATTTTCAATTTATTAGCAAAATAGCTGGCAAGCAGTGTGACCGCGGACTTATCGACAAAATATACAGTGTGACCATATTAGATATACCGAAATGTAAGGTAAATACATGTTTTCTACATTACAACAACATACATATTTATGAAGTAGCTTTTGAGAACATAAGCTGTTTTTGGGATAAAAATGGGATAAAAAAGTCCAAGACTTGGTCCATTCCCATTGAATTCCATTCTCACTTACGTATTTTACAGTTGGCAACATAACTTTGATGGGCCAGACACATGCTGCGAAAAGTTAGCAGCACTCTTCACTTTGGCACACAATAAGAGACAGTTAATACCCTTGGAGGGATGGATATCCTCGAATTGAGGACATTTTGGAAATTCAGACTCCAATTTATGCAAAAACATTCCATCTGTATTGGGAAGTCACAGATTATGGATACCAAGAATGTGTCTAGATACATAGAAAACATATGAAAAGGCTAAAAGCCTGCTAATATTTAAAAGCAGCTGGTAAAATGGAATTTTAATATTAAGTATACCAAATAGGGTATACTCTGTCCGTACTATACAATACTATCGGTTGGCCAGCAACAAATTGTCAAGTCACGCAACATTCCATTCCCACCCACGTAACTTCTAAAGCTAATTTTTTGGGTTGACCTTTTAAGTTTTAACCTTATTTTGCAATCAATCCAATAAAGATAAGTCATGAAATTTATACAACCTTGTAGGGAATTCAAGGGTGATTCGAGTAAAATTACATTTTTAAAGCTGAGAGTCCAATGCTGCTATTAATATTAAACGGAAGTTCAAACTCGAGGAAAAATATGTAAAATGTACGGTATGTTAACAGTGCATTTAGAAAATGAAAGGTTATATATCGGAATATTTCCCAGGGTCTGTCGGTATATTTGATCGATAGTTCCGCGGTCACACTGCTGCTATCCAAAACAGAAAAAAAAGTTTCTTTCGACCCAAAATCCAAAATAAAGTTATTTAAATAGAAAAAGCAGTTAAAAATGCACACGACAAGTCTGCCAAAGGGCCATAAAGTGCATTAGGGCAACTCATTACACTAGACATACACTAGACATTGCCAAACACAAATCACCTTCAACCTGGTGGGAGAGTCATCATGGAGGAAAATATGTGGTAAATAAAACCATTAGCGACATCCAGAAAGCCCAGCGAACAGCGTCAACGTCAACACCCAACCCCAAAGGCCAAGCCAACAGATGAGCGAGCAACGGAATGTTTTCCTATTTTAATATTTGGAGCAATTTACAAATGGCCTTCCCTTCATGGCGCACACACTGAGAGAAAACACTGAGAGAGTGTTTGTTTTATTTTAACTTTCCGATTGAGTGAGACATCATTTTAGTCGCCCCGCATCGTTATCAGCTAGGCCAACCGAATAAACAGCTGCTGGTTGAGACACGTTGACGGCCGTCACCGTCACTGCTTCATTTTCTGCCGTGACTAAAGGCCTGAACTGATGCGACTTTTCTCTCTTTCCTTTTTAGGATAATTGAACTGGAGTCGGCGCTGCTGGACGACTGCAATGTGAATGATATATATAGCATTTGTAGGGGCAAGGGATTGCCCGAGGCCCTGCGTCCGGATGTGTGGCAGGTGTGCCTGGATGTGCGACACAAAAGCGACCAAATGTCGCTCTTCAACGAGATCTACGATCTGCCGTTTCAAAGTCAGCTGCGAGAGGATTGCCAGCGGCATGTAGATCGCATGGGCAATGACGAAGAAGACAAGGTATCGGTGGTGTCCGACCTGGAGTCGATCATTACGTTCTACTGCAAGAACCGGAATCTGCAATATGAGCCGGAGAACGGCTGGATTGAGCTGCTCCTACCGCTGTTTGCGCTCAAGCTTAACCGTTCGGACACATTCAATTTGTTCGAGGCGATACGCGACACCTACATACCGAAGGGCTGCAAGCCAAAGGGCAATGTCTTCCATGTGTTTCGGCTGCTGCTGCAGTACCACGACCCAGAGCTGTGCTCGCTGCTGGACACCAAGAAGATCACACCGGACCTCTACTCGCTGACGTGGTTCCAGTCGCTGTTTGCCTCCTGCAGCAGCCTGTCGGTCATCATAGCCATGTGGGATCTTTACTTTCAGAATGCAGATCCCTTCATGGTGTTCTTTCTGGCCCTCATCATACTGATCAATGGGCGCGAGAAGATTATGCAGATAAAAGCCTCGTCCAAGGAGGAGATCATTGAGTTCCTCATCAACATGCCGTGCGCCCTGGAGCTGGACGATGTCTGGGACTTTTGCTCACTCGCTCAGTACTATGCGTTGAAAACGCCGACGTCCTTCAAGACGGACTACCTGAAGGCGCTCTACGGCAAGCAGAATGACTCACCGCGCAGCCAGGAGGAGTCCAACAAGGTGTCCCAGGCGTTGTGCCTGCCCGTGTCCGTCTACGAGTTGGTGGAGAACTCAGCCACCGAATTCCCAGTGTCCGATGCGGTTCGCTTCTTTCTCGTCGATTGTCGCCCGGCCGAGCAGTACAATGCCGGCCATCTGTCCACGGCATTCCATCTCGACTGTAATTTGATGCTGCAGGAACCCGTTGCCTTTGCCACCGCCGTCCAGGGTCTGCTCACGGCACAGCGTCAGGCCATTGAAGTGAAGTCGAATGCCGGCGGCGAGCATTTGTGCTTCATGGGCAGCGGCCGCGTGGAGGAGGATCAGTACACGCACATGGTGGTGGCCTCATTCCTACAGAAGAACACACATTACGTGTCCTTGCTCACCGGCGGCTATGCATCCATTCACGATTACTTTGGCGATCACATGGCCGACTGCCTCGAGGATCACAATGTGCGAAAATGTCTCGTTTGTCAGCAGCACAATACACAACAGGTAACGGAGACTGCCAGTGTTGCGTAATGTACTGAAACGTGTCTTTCCTTTGCAGACGAAAAATGTGCCACTGAAAGCCACAACGGCCGCCTCGTCCACGGATTTGTTTAGCAAATTCTCTGCTGCCATGAAGTCCAAGTCTGCGGAGGTCAAGGGCAAGCTGCTGGACATCATAGTGAATCCCAGTGCGGGCAGTGCAGCAGCAGCTGGCGGCGTGACAAATGGTGCGCAATCCGCGGCGTCGCAGGAGCGTCATGTGAGTGCCAAGGAGCGAAATGGCAAACGGTATCGCAATGTGGCGCCTGTCTTTAGCATCGATGACGAGAACGAGGATGCCTACGATGCTGCAGAGCGCGATGCACCCAAGCTAGCGGGCGACAACGAGGAAATTGTGAATCTAAATCAATATTTCAAGACGGCAGACATCATCAATGCCTTCAAGTGCCAGGAAGTGCAAATGAGCGGATGCATGTACGACAGTCAACTGATAATAACGCCCGGCCAGCTGGTGGTGCTGCGTGAACTAGGTCGAGGACAGGCGCAAATAATAGTGCGTCGTCCGTTGGCCAGCATTGTGAAGATCACAGCCAAGAAGCGGCATCGTGATTTGATCACGTTCAAGTATGGCTTTCCCGACGGCGAGGGACTGATGATCACCGATATGGATCGGTTTCTTATACCAAATGCCAACGAGGCCACAGCGCTGGTCTCCAAGCACATAGTGCAGGTGCTGGATAATGTCAAGTAGGCAGAGAAGGCTGTCCCCTTGCTCCCCCCTCCCTCCCAACAAGCTTTATTTCACAGGCAGACAAAGTGCAATGCGTCGCGCTGTAATTAGTTTTTAATTGGCAATCATTTTTTCCTTAACAAATTTGTAGTGTAAATTGTGTAAAACGCGGCCACGCGGCAAATTGTAACATAGAGGCAACAGGTAACAGTGACTGCCAGTGTTGCAAAATGTACTAGGACCCCCCACAGAGCCCTTTCCTTAATTAACAGCAGAAGCCTTGAGACTTACAAATGTGTAAATGAATGGATGACAGGATGATAGACAGACAGAGAGTGTAACTAATATTTATTGCAATTAAAACCCAAGTAAAATAAACATGTATTATATTGGAAACTCCCCAATTGGCTTCTCCAGCAGCGGCTGATCGTTGGAGCGCACCTCCCGCGTTGTCTGTGGCTCCTCCACTGGAACAGCACGAACTCTGCACTGATGGAAGTAATACCAGCCGAGAGAGACGCAAACAATGAGCAACACCAGCAAGCAGGCGGCAGCGACAATGGACACAGCTGAGGACTCTTCTACCAAATCTTCATCCAATTCGTGGAATGTGAGAGCCGCATAGGAACTTCCTCCACTTTCAGTTCTTTCCTGCATGCCCTGCAGCATCACCGATGTACTCCGCACAATGCAGTCGCTACGAATTGTCAAGATGCCGCTGCCATAATGGAGATCTCCTTGGTCACAGCCACCATCCATCGATTGGCTGCAGCGAGCGGTAGCCAGAGAGAGTTTTGCTTCACCAGCCTAGGGCTGCATAGCTCCGATTGACTGCGATTCCGAAAGGCTGCCAGTGTGCAGGGCAGTGAGCCCGAGTCGCGGCCAAATGTGATTTGTTGCGACTTGCATAAAAATCTTTGTGGGTGCAGCTCCAGGCAGCTGTCCAGCTCCTCATTCTGCAAGGGAAAATATCTGTCCAGATGGTCGCTAATGGCCAGATTGGGTGTCTCTGTGTAGAAGAGCTGAAGGCCGCTTTGCTCTAGCCTTGGTATGGGCGTCAGATGGTAGACATCGAACTGTTCAGCGTCCACCAGTGGCAGCTTAATGTGGAACAGCAAAAGCTTGTGCAACTGCTGAATGTGACTTATCCTGGCCACACGATAGACATCAGCGATTGCCCGACTGTCGAATGGCAGACGACGCTCCTGCGGCATGTGGGCCTGCATGGGGGTTAGCTCATGCTCCAGCTGCTCGACAGAAAGTATTCTCGCATGAAGTTTGTCCGTTTGTTTGGCATGAGATACTGAATCGTGTATGGCATCCTGGGTGCGCTTTATACGGCCCAGCTTTATACGGTCGAGTCTAGTTCCCCGCTCAGACCATAATTATTTCTGAAATTCTCAATCTCCATAAGCTCCAGCTCCAGTGGTCTTGGACAGGCAGGCAGACAATGTTTCTCTAGCGTTTCGTAGTATTTTCGAAGTTGTAATACGCCAAAATGTTCCACTCTGACATGATGACAGAGGCGCGTCCTCGGTGCTCGATGAAGCTGCCCAAACTATTGTTGAAGTATGTCATTGTCATGGGTGGGAACTGTTCCATCTCAAGTGGAGCCTGTTGGCAGTGGCCAATGAGCAGCGTCAAAATAAAATTGATTAAAGCTGGATAAAACATTGTCACAGAACCGAACCGGTTACGTGCTCGCCGCTGGCTTATCGTTAACTAAATTGTGAACCCCTCGAGGAATATTTATTTAAGACATTTTTAAATTGCGCTGATCGTGCATCGTGTTACATGGAACATAATCGTAGTCGCATTTATGCATTCAATATGCTGAGTGTTTGCTTTTCGATTATGTATGGCAAAGGAATGGAGGGACTGTCTCTGTTGTTAGCTGTCAAAGCTGTCGTAATATTTCTGGAGCGCACTGTTTGCGCTGACTGTTACACACACACACATGTAGCCTCCCACTGTTAACCAAAGCAGCGACGCGACGCAGCTCTGTGCAGACACAGCGCATGCGAATTGGTAAGCACCGTTAGCCGAACAGCTACGTAAGCAGACATTGGCAAAAGGGAATGGGAGCTATTCCATGCCCTGCTCTGCTCTGCTCTGCTGCTGCGGTCGCAAAACTTATCAATGAGAGTGACGTAGGTTCTGGCTGTGCAGGCGGCGGCACAGGAGGCGGCGGCGGGTTGGCCGTAGCTGGGGCTGCAAAATCGAAATTGGGGCCAGTACGTTACAAAACTGTTGCACTCCGTCGCTGGGACGTCAGTTCATTCAGAACAGTGGAAGTGCGCGAACCTCAGCACAGCTCAACAGCAGCCGAAGCAACAGCCCCAAAAGCCCTCAACCCGGACAAGGAGTCGCCGTCTTCGTCGTCGTCGTCCAGCCACCTATCATAGCCCGCAGTTTCAATTCAAATTTGGGCCACTGAAGCAGTGTTGTCAGCACGTAAAGTGCTTTCCAAAATGCGTTTGTCAATGTCATTGAGGCAGCTGGCAGGCCACAGCCAGATGCTGCTGCTTGTGCTGGTGGCCAGCCCGCTCATCCTGGGTCGCGTGTTGGCGGTGCCCGCCTCTGTGCTTGCCCAGAACACGGAACTATCCACCAATGCCAATCAGAAGCTGCAGCTCCAGCAGCTGGAACAGCAGCAGCAGGAGCAGCAACAGCCGGCAGCAGGTGAGTGCCAAAGTTCAGGTTTTCCTTTGCGTGGGTGGAGCTCACAGCTTACGGCTTCGCCCACGCCATAACAGGGCTCTCTGCTCCTAGTTAATGCTAAAGGTCATTGTAAAATTTCATGTTTTATTTTTTGTGTTAAATGCTCACTGGCCGTTGCCATACGGCAGCAGCAGAGTGGACCACAGCCCCAGGGCCGAGGCTCTGCGCTGCTTCTGCTCTGCTCTGCTCTTGTCTCAACGCCCACAAGGGCTTAGGTGGGAACTAGGGGAGCGGCAGAGGGACTGCCATCCACTTGAGTGGCCGCCTCCCAATCTTCGGGTAGCTCATCTCATTTAGCATTTTCCATTTCCCATTTCCCGCTTAGCTTTTTTGCGCTACGGAAATTGCGTAGGTGTTTGCCGCTGTCGTTGCCAGCTGTCGCGCGGTTGCTCTGCCTCTGTCTTGTCTCCCTCTTCCACTCCCCCACTCCCTTTTGCACTCCCACACTGATTCTGCTCCTCCCCCTACTTGCTGCTTGTTTTTACAAATTTCCATTCTGCGGTTATCCTTGTTGTTGTTGTCTCTTGTGCTGGCTTAGTGAATCATTACTATCCCCTACGTACACACACATACTTACACACACTCACAGTGTTACACCAGGTACAGTGGGCTAGAAATGTGTGCAGACGGCACACGTAATATGTTGCGGATGGAAAAGAACGGTAGATTGTAATCAAGTGTTGCCAATGCTTGCACATGAATTGTTGTTCACTGTAATAGCTGCTTATGTAATTTATTAATCTGATATCAATGATATTTCTCTATATTAATATAACTAAACATGAATTTTTGTAGATTTGTTGGCATTTATTAGCCTTATTCTCCATAGTCGTGGTTTTTCGAGTAATTTTTCCTAATCAATCAGCCACCATAGCTACATTTTCATTATTATGATCATCAAAAGTGCTAACTTTAATACTAAACTGTAAAAAAAAACATTTTCAGTGTTTAGTTTCAATCAAAACATGACTCCATGGACACCACGGTTGAAGCCTATCAAAAATTTTAGTTTTAATTATAAAAATTTGACTCTTTTCCCTCGAAAAAAATATCAATGTAATTATATAATTCATCTCCTATAACATAACAGCAATTTTAAAACAACTTTCGTTGGTTATCAATAAAAATACACTTTAAATACACACAGCGCTCTGAAAACTTCAAAATTGTTTCTCGCCAGCCGACTTATGTCACCCACTGTACATACTGCCATACATACTTACATACATTTGTATGTACATTACAGGAGTACCTCCTGTAGCGCCGTTAAACATCGCGTAGGCGTTCGCCATACAAAATGGCGACCAGCCAGCCTCCTTTGTGCACACAAACACAAGCACTCTGGGACTCTGGCAACACACACGTAGATGTATATCATGTGCATGTGCGTGGGTGTTTTTGCAAGGCACTGTAAATGTGTGTGGGTGTGTTGGTGTGTTTGCCCTTCTTCGTGTGCAAGTGTGTGCGTACGTGCGCGCGATTTCATTTCTATTTTTAGACATCGAGTTAAGCAAAAGTTTTCAGCTGAGAACTCTCTCCCTCTTCCACTCTCGCTCTCGCGCGCTCTCCCACCCTGCTTTCTGTGTTCTGCGAGCCTGGCGCCTTTCGACTGGCATCCTCTTTCACCACATCTTAAGCTCAAGCTGCTCCGCCACCTCCACCTCCACCTCCACCACACCCCACCACACCGCAGCGCAGCTCAGGCCAGCGTTGGGGCAGCGGCTCTCTCAACTCTCAAGCTGTTAAGTCCTGCGTTGCCTTTCTTTATTTTCGGGGCGCAATGCAACACGTTCACGGCCGGCCCCAGAAAACCGCACAAAGGCCGTATGGGGGCTTGGCTTAAATGTCAATCGCCTCGAGCCAAAAGGCAGCCAGCCGCCACATCAAAATGTCAAAAACAAGGCAACAAATAAACTCCAACATATAATAGATGGATGGATGGTTGGTTAGTCTTTAGGGTGGACCTTTTAGTTTTGTGTAGAAAAAAAAAACAAAGGAATTAAAAGATTAAAGTGTGGAAGAATAATATAAATTAAAGTATTGTGTAGAAAGTCTACCAAAGTCTACTCTCAACTCTGCACTCAAAAATCGTATTAGAAAGAAGTTGGAGAAGTCCTAATTTGAGTATAAATTATTTATTTCCCCAGTTTCTAGTTAAAATTTGACCATATAAACCACATTTCCGAAGCTCTAAATTTTATTTGTACTTCATTTTAATTTAAAAGAATAAAAGACAGCTCCTACATGTCCGTTTGCTAGCATATTGAGCCAGCTCCAAAATTTCTATCCTGCCAGCTATTCATTTTTTCGCCCAAATATTTCCTTCTTCCGCTGCCTAAATTGCTTAAATTTCAAACAGAATAATGTCCACCCTGAATCACATTTTTGGGCATTTAATTTACGCATCAGCAGGGACAGCCAGCAGCAGTCAAGTGTGTATTATTAAATATTTATAAAAGCGCACTCCCTGGCCCCATCCCTCCTCGAGTTCTTTGTCATTTCCATGAAATATTCAGAGCAGCGCTCCAGTCCCGGGCTCCCATTAGAACCTTGGCAGCAAAACCGCAAACTTCTATTACGGGGCGTCCAGCGCATTTCCATTTTCGTGGCACAAATTGTTCCATATGCCGATGGTTATTAAATTATTTGCTGTGAGTGCTTGGGACAGCAGCAGGAGCTTAAGCACTGGCAGGATGTGGAGCAGCAGCCAGGAGCCAGCAGCGAGGAGCCTCCCCCCACACATCAAGGCTGCCAACAACGCACTTAGCCATGGCGTTAATTGTGTTCATGTTCATGTTGTGCTGAACAGCTGCTGTAAACAGAAGGACCCAGCCAACACCCAGGACCAACCGCACTCATTCTTCCGATTCTTCCTTTCTTTTTTCTGTCCCATAATCTCAGCTCCCCCGTGTGCGCTGCGCATGTGTGTGTCCAGGGCAGGGGTAGTGGGAGCGAAAAGCAAACAACTTGTTGATATTTTTACAGTTCAGTGAACATTTTGCGACAAGGACGGGCCAGCCAGGAGCCCAAGAACCTGGCGCTCTGCACGTCCCATGAATCTATGTAGAGCTCCACAAGCACCCAGAAGAAACCTGAAGGACAATGACGAGTCGACGTCAGCAAATGTCAGAGCCAGAAGCCAGTCGCTCTCTCTCTCTCTCTATTTTTTGTTGCCTATATTTATTTATGGGCACACTCCTGGAACCACCTGCCTGCCACCCATCAGCGCACACGACTTTTGCTGTGGCCACATGCTTAATGCCATAAATTGTGTTGCTGGGGAAATGACTGGCGCGGCGGCGTTGGCTTCTTGGAAACATTTATCCCAGAGCTTCAGGGGAATTGGTATCCCTATCCTTGAGTTTCAGTGGAATTGGCAATCCCCCTGCCCGAGTTTCCGCGGAATTGGTAGCTAAGGACTTGAGGGAATTGCAGAACTGGGTTACAGTACTTTTCAGCAGCTAGAATTTCAGCCAGAGGAGAGACACTCTGTTGTGGCGTTGCTTTCCTTTGATAGTTCTCCCATTACATCGTCATTTCCAAATGTCAAATATGTCTTAGATGTGTGCAGCTACAGAAGGAAGAGAGTTTGCTTTTCTGACGAGTTTTAATCCCATTTTGCTCATCAACATTCATGTGAATACTTCGCTTAATACTCATGGGAAACTTTGCTCCTCTCACCCTCATTTTTGTATCATTTGTTTCTAATCTAATCCAAACAACTTTGTCCTGCATTTGCTATCACCACTTGGCACCAGCTAATAACATATTCATCAGTTCTATCGTATAAATCATAACCATTTAGGACTCAAACTCTTATCTGTCCCTCGATTATTGAGTGTGGGGTGACTGTTTGT